CAGCAGCAGATGGGAGCAGATGCAGAGACTCACATGTGGAGAGAGAGTCTAAATTGGAGGTCTTCTTTGACTTCTGCTGTAACAGGTCAAGGGACCCTGTGGAATAAAAGTGGGAGAGGACACCAGGAAAACACAGCCTGCTGATTCAACCAAGCAGGGCTCACATGGTCTCACAGAGACTGAAACAAAGGCAAAGTTTGCATACATTTTGGCTATAGAGGAATGAAATAATATGTCTGCCAAAGAGAATCAGAAATATGAAAAACGTGGGGACTCTTGCAAACTGCAAGGTATTCTAGTCTGCATGGAAGAAATGACAAATCTGTTCTCAGTCACCTTTACAGGCAACCCACTGAGACGGGAAGTGACACTTCCTCCCAGTGATAGTGACAGCACAGATGGAGGGGAGGAATAGGAGTTATGTGGGCTTCAGTTCATGCATGCATGCATACATACAAGAATCACAGAGAACAGATGACCAAGTCAATTGTCTGACTCACATGCCAATTTCTATACATTCTTATGGTAATGTAATTCAAAGAGTCCTGCTGAAAAGGAATACTTTGAGAATCTGGTAAATTCTCTTTTTGAACTTTAGAAGTTAAAAAAAGAAAGGAAGAAAGGAAGGAAGGAAGGAAGGAAGGAAGGAAGGAAGGAAGGAAGGAAGGAAGGAAGAAAGAAAGAAAGAAAGAAAGAAAGAAAGAAAGAAAGAAAGAAAGAAAGAAAGAAAGAAAGAAAGAAGCCATTGCTTTTGTAATGTGGCCACAGTATTTTTTGAAGTTCATATTTACATGCTATTTATTGTTTTGTGAATATGAGAATATAATTTAAAAAGAATTTTAAAAAGCATTATGTCAAACTAACAAGCTAGACTTCAAGTTAAGTATGCTATGATTTTATTTATGTGATGTTTTAGAATATGTGTCCATTAGACGGAACATAGAGAATGGAAAGGGACAATGTATAAGTGTGGAGAATAGTTATTAGGTTTGTCCTGAACTGTAGAAATGTTCTGGGATCAAATGCCATTAATTTAAGTATTACATTTCATTTAAATATTATCCCAGCACTTGGGAGGCAGAGGCAGGCAGATCTCTGTGAGTTAGAGGCCAGCCTGGGCTGCTGAGTTATAGGAAAGACGCCAAAGCTACACAGAGACCTTGTTTTGAAAAACAACAACAAAATTATATAAATACTGAAATATTCATTTTGATATGAAGACACTATTTTATATAAACAGCAAAATACTACACATACACACTATGCACACACACAGACACACACTGGTGCAGTGGTGTATGTCTTTAATCAGTCATTATGGAGGTAGACACAGTCAGATTGCTGTCAGTCAACAAATCTGGTCTGCACAGAAAATTTCAGGTCAGTATGGGTTATGCAGTGAGACACTGTCTCAATAAATAAAAAAAAACATAATTAGAAATAAAAATCAATTCAGGTGTCTTATGGTGATCAGAGGGAGAGACAGTTAAAATGTTTAAACTGAGAGATCCATATGCATACACACCTGTCATTGGGTTGCTTCTGGGGACACACATCCCTATCTGTGAGGACCTGACAGGTAAGGGGATGAAGAAGCATTGCTAGAAATGATTCTTCCTGCTGTCTCTTATTTTAAGTATGGGGCTTACAGAGAAATAGCAGTGAGGTTCCCAGTATTGTTCTGAGCTGTTTACACATGGATCTCCTCTCATTTTTGCAACTACGGTTCACAGGGCTCTCCAGACTTCAGTGGAGGTCAGCACTAACCTGCGGGCTTGATTCAGTCCATCTTGGGTAGGTTGAAGAACCTTGTTTTCCTAGCAAATGGAGTTGCCACTGATCATGACCTCATATGAAAACCTGTGTGTAGATGATAAACTGTCTTCTGTGAACAAACTTATTCATGAAAGTGTCCACTGAAGTGAAGCATACAGATGAAGGGTGATCCTACCTGCCTTTCTAATGTGGGGCAATAATGTCAAATCAGGTCATGCTAGAGCAGCTTAGAAATCGCAAGTGAGCTTTAGATCCTTTCACATGATTCCAGGACCACACTTGATTCTTGAGGTGATCTGAGAAGATCCCTAGGTCTCTGCAAGAACGTGGTCATGTTTTGACAAAAGTGCTCACTCACCTGGTGCTATATTGGATAACCAAAATCCAAGGAAACTGCTGCCTAAGAGGAACTTGTCCTATAACATCATTACAAGGAAATGTTTATTAAGGATGCTGGAGATACGTATAATAAGGATGACACAGTGGGGAAAGTGGGTCTGCTCAACATAAGTCCATATAACAGAGTTTATAGCCAAGGAGAAGAGTTGGGGATCTGAAAATGTGAAAACAGAATAACAAAACAGAATCAGAGTTGAAAGACTATGGCTGGACAGATGTTCAGGATTCTTGCTGCAGATGAGCAAGGAGGAACCCTGATCAGATTTGAAGGGTGATCAGATAGCAATAATGATTTCTGGTGACCTGACACATCAGAATTTTTGACAGAAATGAGATAATACAAGAATATACATAGACATTATTAGCAGAAAGTCAGAGCTCTGAATGGGGCAGTCCAGGTTTATTTAGCAAGTAATGTATAAGTTGGTATTTCAAAGACATATGGCCTTAATACTGTATTACTCTGACATAAAAAGTCCTCACTGCTTCTCTTACTTTTAGAAATTATTTGTTGAGTTTAGATTTTGTGCAAACTTGCCAGTGTAGGATGTAGGGTGTATAGTGTCATATATTTCTTCTGTGATCCAAGAAAACAAAAAAATGCTACAATAAATGAACAAACAGAATATGGTATCTCCATGTAATAGAAAAAAATCACATAACCTGGATAAAGAGGAGATTTTGACAGTAGCTACTGGTTACTAAGTTATTTCCTAGTTGTCTCCTTTCAATACTGGTACAGTGGAAATTACCTCCAATATGGCAATGGTCAAGAAAAACACTCCACCTATGGTAGCAGGCAAATTCCTAAACAGAGAAATTGAAGTGAGTGGTGCTGAGGTTGAGGACAGGAATTAGAGGTTTATTATTTGATGAGTTCACATTTTCCTGAAAGCAGATAAAATCTTCCCAGAGATCTACTTGGTGATGTTTGCACAATGATGGTGCCCCTAAGGCCACTGAGATTTATATCTAAAACTATAAATGTTGAAATTTCAGGTGATGCATGTGCTACTGAATGCAAATACTGACAGGTTTGATGGTGCTGGATAACAAGTGTTCAACTTAACCTCAAGTAGAGAAATGTCAGATAGTTTCATGAAACCATGCGTGCTAGGACCTGAATTTCCCTTCTTTGCTTTGGTCTTGAACACTTTCTATGTGGAGTCACCCCTCCAACATTGGAATTTTTATGAGTACTAGCTGTGTTCTTCTGTGACATTGAAAAGAATGCACGCCAAAGTTAGTGTTTTCAAACATCTCAATGTAGCTTTGAATTAAACATGAAATAAGAGACTAGAATATCCTAACTGAACCTACTCCGTGATGGTAAGTAACCCCAATCTCTGATTTTAAGCTAAGTGCTATGCTGAAATCCTATGTAGCTTTTCTTTCAAACTCCTCATCCTCATTTTGAGCTACTATTAAGATAAAATGTCAGCCCATATTGTGATCCAAGGCATGAAAGGTGGTTCCCTAACTTCTTCTGTGAATGTCTATAAGTTCCACTCCACATAATCCACTCAAGCTGTTCACACCCACCCCTCCGGGACAGGTAAGATCTGATCTCAGTAGGAGCCTGAAGGCCCAATCCAGTTACGTGATAGTCAATCAGCAGAAGGGAAAGATTGATTGGGAGGGCGTGGATTAGCCAGAGACTTGAGATTTAAAGGCTGAGTGAGACATTGCTGGGCCAGATCTGACACCTCAACAGCCTTAGAAGAGCTTCCGGAGTGCATCGAAGCAACAGACGTTACCACAGGTGAGGCCTTTCTTCTGCCAAGGCAGAATGGGAAGTGACCCTGGAGGCGACTCCATGGAGAATCAGGCAGAGCCCCAGGAATGAGAATATCCTCTTAACCTCAGCAGTCCTGCTGTGTGGAGGAAGAGGAAGGTGGGGAAGCCAGAGGGGGAAACCTGGGCCCTCTTTGGTCCAGGTTTGTATAAGATCCAATTCAGTGCAAGCCTGGTCCTGGCCAGAGAGAGTGACAGCTGATACCATGCACACCAGGGTCATGCTCATCTCATTCTGACCCTACAGAGATCATCATATTACACATCAGCCCTGTGTAACTATTTCTTTTCCTGATTGACATGTGCAGAAGGAGTACCAAGTGGCACGCCACTTGTCAGTTCTCATAGGGAATGCTACTTAAGAGACCCAGCCAGGCCTGATCTTGGGATTTCAGGGTGTTTTTATCTAGCACTCCATCATCATGGTGTCTCCAGCTTCCACTGGCTTTTCCATTTGAGATTTTTTTCCCTCATTGATGTAATGAGTGTGTTGCAAAGTCTCAATGGTCTAATAGAGTACTAGAAATTTTGATTTTTCCCATATTTTCTAAGTAGGACAGTCTAGAATGTTTCCTCTTGAGAGAGAATGTTTCAAACAGCCCATATACTGCTCTGCATTAAGGAATCCCATACAATGTGCTCCTAATTCCTGGGGAAACTTGTACTTAGGATCAGAAGCCACATAAGAGAAGATTTTTATCATCAATAATCCTAGGTTCACTCTGTCCAAGTCCCTAGATATGTGGCTTTTGAATTTTGATGTCCATCGTCATTTTTCTGATTAGGTAAATTTGTAGTACGTTAGTTTCCATGAATTTCCGGAATTTTTCCCACATGCTCTGCAACTTTATATAAAAATTAAATGTTATCCATGACATCTCTGTCCCAACCTCATATTTAGCCATTTAAAAAAATCTTTGAGTAAATATTTGAGAGAGTAGTTGGAATAATTTTATTCAGCATAGGTGACTTAATTTCTCAAGAGTGTTGGTGTATTCTCCTATTCATTTTTGTTACTCTGTAGGTACTTAAGACATGACTCCTACTGTCTTCTTGGTCATCCTGTGTTTGGGAGTAGCCTCAGGTGCTCCAAAACCAGATTACAGTTTGGATGCTGAGTGGGAGGAGTGGAAGAGGAGCAATGAGAAAACATACACCCAAGTAGGTCACATGGACACACAGAGGGTCCTTGTAGAGCATGTTCATTGCTGCTTGGGGTTCATGGATTTAATAGAGGTCATAGATGCCACCCCTACTTGAGGTATTAGTGTAACATGGCATGAACACAAGGTGGCCACTGTCTCTGCTCATCAGGGTGTTGAGAGTGGCTTGCTTTAGTGTCCCAAGATCCCTCTCCATGACCTCTATGCATATGCAGCTAAAAGTCAACTTGGTCAGGTAGTGCACGGATATAATTGGAAATAAATGACATTCGTTATGTTTATTTCCAGGAGGAAGAAAGACAGAAGAGAGCAGTATGGGAAGAAAATGTGAAAATGATCAAACTGCACAGTGAGGGGAATGGCCTGGGGATGAACAACTTCACTGTAGAGATGAATGAATTTGGTGACATGGTCAGTATGACTCAAACTGTTTCACACTTTTTCATTTTCTCTTCTGTTGTTTAAATGGAGATTTTATGTACTTTCCTTGAAGACTGGTGAAGAAATGAGGAAAATGATGATGGAGGGTTCAGTTGTGACTCTAAAGAATGGGAAACACATCCAGAAACGAGGCGATCCCAAAATCCCCAAAACTTTGGATTGGAGAACACAAGGTTATGTGACTCCTGTGCGGAGACAGGTATTACAACATCACATGACTCTCTTCCTCAACTACTGGGGATGCAACTGTCATTGAGATGTCTGTATTATTTGGCTGTGGTATGATATGCTGTTCACTAAACACATTTTTAAGTTGACTGCCACAGATATTGTCCTTAGCATTCGATTGCTAGTAACAAATGTTTCTTAGTTGTCCCAAGGAAGGAGAAATCCCCATTCCATGCCTTAGTAATTATAGGGTCCATACAGGTATAGAATGCATACCTATTACTTCTATGCATTACTTACTGTTAAACCTCCATCTAGTGGTCCTAATATATGTCTCTCCAGACTTAATTTCTTTGATTAATGACATTTATCACACCTGGTAACAAGTGTATCAGGACTTTATGTGCACCTGTGTGTGTTTGTGTGGCTAGCCACTGGGGCATGAAACACCTCCCCATGGAGACTGACCCTTCATACCTAGGCATCCATAAAATGCTAATAGTTCCCTTTTGATGAAGTACTCAACTACTTGAGTTGTTATTGCAGTTATTATTTGTTTGTGGACAACAATATTTTCTTCTCTGCTCAGGGAGGTTGTGGTGCTTGTTGGGCTTTTGCTGTTGCTGGTTCCATAGAAGGACAGCTGTTCAAGAAAACAGGCAAACTGATCCCACTGAGTGTACAGAACCTAATAGACTGTTCTAGATCTTTTGGCACTAATGGCTGTAAAGGAGGCATGATGTATAATGCCTTCCAATATGTGAAGAACAATGGAGGTCTGGAGGCCGAGGCAACCTATCCATATGAAGCAAAGGTGAGTGGGCTTCCTGGGATGTCATTTCAGTTTGGCTAGGGCAAGGGGAAAATGGCAGAAATTATAATCCATTTCCTTCAGACTTCACATTGAATGTAGAGTCTCTCTGCACACCACCACTGCTGTCATTGCAGTGTCCACCATTGCATGGTTGCCTGATTCCACGGTTCCATGTAGCTGTTCCTGCTTCTATGCACATGGAGAATGTGCAGACCATTTCACATATAATACAGATTTCTGCTCCATAAAAAGTTTCTTACGGATAGGAAGACTGATGAGGTGTCATTGAAGACACGAGAGCTGATTTTTCAGTTCCAAATCTCCCAGTAACATTTCACTTCCTGGAATGATTTATAACAGTCCAAATGTGGGGATGGTCCACCGCAAAGGGCCGAGTGTTATGCTTCTGACTCTTGCTCTCCAGAAGGTAGATGGAAGTAACCAAGTCTTTTAACTCTTTATTTAATTATTTATTTTAAAGGAAGGACGCTGCAGGTACCGTCCTGAACGTTCTGTTGTTAAGGTCACCCGCTTTTTGGTTGTCCCAAGGAATGAAGAAGCCCTAATGAATGCTTTAGTAACTCATGGGCCTATTGCTATTGGAATTGATGCTAGACATGAATCTTTTACAAAATATACGGGAGGTAAGTATGTGTTTTTCTAGATATTAATGAAGAATGCTTGTGATCCTTTGGAACATGCCAGGATGATATTCTAATAATGTATAAAATTGGATGTGAGTTTTAATTTTACACTTGTTAGCACAATAATCATGTGTGTTGTTTCTATATGACTCACATACCTATGCATCTGAGTACTTCATTATTTATTATATTGTTTAGCTTTATTCACTCTTCCCTACTTGGTATATATTATGGTATGGAGAAATTGCCTTTCTAGAACTAAATTCTAAAGAGTGCCTTGAATTAAGAAATTTATGTTGAATTATAATTTCTTGGAATGAGATTCTATTAGCAAAAACACAAGATGTGAAAGAGTCACCTTATGTGGGTATAGGGAAGTGCTTGTCACCAAAGTTATGCTCATTTTATTTATTTATTTATTGGATTTTGATGAGAACTTGTATCAGGATTCCTGTTAACAATGTTTTCTATTTTTATTGGAATTTCTGTAATTTCAGTTCACTTAGAATATGCCTCACTCATTGTTGTTGACCATGATCATTATCAGGTTCCTGGTGCCTTTTACTCCAGTGATTTTCTTTTTCAGGTATATACCATGAACCAAACTGCAGACCTGATTCTCCTAACCATTCTGCGCTCTTGGTTGGCTTTGGCTATGAAGGCAGAGAGTCAGAGGGCAGGAAATATTGGCTGGTAAAGAACAGGTACAAATAGCTAAAATTATTTGTATTTTAGGTTTCAAATGGACTTCCTATTTGTAGTTAGTTTAGATACAAGTTACATAGAACATTGTTATAATTAAGATAAAGAGGAATATTTTCTCTTTTTTGCTGAAATGTAGGTGTTCTCTGTGTGTTTATATTTGTATATGTTTGTGTGTATGTGTGTGTATTTGTGTGTGTGTTTATGTATGTGTGCATTTGTTTATTTGTGTGTGCATGCGTGTTTGTGTATAGGTCTGCTACTGACATTAGTTGCCTAAGTTGTTCTCCACCTTATATATTGGAGAGGTGAGTGTCACTGATCCTAGAGTTTTCTATTTTTGTTAGTGAGCTTATCCAGTTTGTTCCAGTTATTTCTCGACTTCTGTAATTATAGATTGGCTGCAAAAAACATCCTAGTTTTCTTTTACTGTTATTTTTATTTGTGTGTCTGTATGAATGACGGCTGTATGTAGGCAGATGCTCATGCAGACCAGATGAAGATGCCACATTCCTTACAGCTCCAGTTACAGGGATTGTGAGCTCACTGACTTGGGTACTGTGGTGGGTGGGAACTTTTGTCCTGTGGAAGAACTCCAAGTGCTCCTAGTCACCAAGACACACCTTCAGCCTCATTCTGGCTTTAAGTGGAACTCGGACTCCAACTCCAGACCTTCCAGTCGTGGGATCTGGCTTTACTGTCTGGTTCCTGTCTTTGTCTGGAGCAGCTAACATATAATGTATGAACACAGAGTTCAGATTCTGTTGTTGATTTCCTTGGGAATCAATATGTTTGCACTATTGATTTTCTATTTCTCATTGGTTATTTCTGAACAACCTGTGGGTGGAATATGTCCTAATTCTCCCTGCTATTATTTTCACTGTTCTCTGTGAGATAAATCTTGGTACTCTGGAATTGACTCTGTCCTTTCTGATGCTTTCTATTAAATTGGCCTCTGGCTCAGTACTCAAATTCAGAGTTATTGTAAAATTCCATTCTGCTGTGTCTTTTCTACTAAATGGAAAACCTGATTTCTTTCAGCCATGGTGAAAATTGGGGAGAAAAAGGCTACATAAAGATTCCCAGAGATCAGAACAACTACTGTGGAATTGCTTCCTACGCCATGTACCCCATATTGTGAGCTGCCCAGGGGTAAGAAGGAAGGGAAGATATTAGGACAACACATACAGAAGAATCCCACCCTCTTCAAAATGGCCTGCCTCTACTGTGTGCAGGAGACACTTGAGTCATTGAAAAGCTAGGGTAGGTGTCCAATCTGTGGTATGTTTCCTCTAGTAACACATGACTGCTGCTGTAATTGATGCTCTGCACCGATTTGTGTTAATAATTCCTGTAGTGACTTGATTTTAATTTTTTTTCACTGTACCAAATGATGTCCTTAGAAATAAAAGTTAAATTCAAATGTAGTATCTAGTATTCTTCTTGTGAGGTGACTTTTTATGGTCAAACATGGTATTCATCTTGAAGACAGAACTGACTGGTGTGCTGGTGTTTTGGGAGAATGGTGGGTGGTTTCTCTGTGGTGGATGATCTTCAATCATTGGCTGTGGTCTGCATATAGAATTCTATTTATATATTAGTGACCCTGTTCTGAAGGACGATATGGAAACTTCTGGGTTTGATACTTTTAGTTTACATGAATTAACCCAGTTTCAATCCTTTGCTGCTTTGTGGAATGTGACATTAGTGTGTCCCCACTGCATTGTGCTGGGCTGTGACTCTCCCTTTCCAGCAATCCAATACTGTACTAGCTTCCCTGTGACTGTGTCATAGAAATCAAAGTGAGCATGTCTGCAATTACAGGAATTATCTTCCAGTGCATTGAAGCACTGAATGCTGACAGCTATTTCAATGCAAACTTTTTCAGTCACAGTCCTATTCTCTCATTGTTTATAGCTGATAATCCTCAAGCTTACAAAACTAATGTGTTCAACTTTGCCATAGGCATGTATGATCAGAAAAATAAGATATATACATTACTATATATGTATTCCTTTGGTATATACTATTTATTACTATCTGTGGGCTCAAACATCTAGGGCAGGTATTAGAATTGTATCTTCAATTTATAATAAATCACTTGCACAGTCAGATCTCATTTCAGCTTATTAGTGCTTGACTTTAAAGACTGGAAAATGGGTCTTAGTAACCTTACCTGTATGGGCATCATGGAGGGATAAGTCCAGGAGTCGTCTTCTGTACATCTAGATTAATCAGTAGGCCTGCTTAGCGAGAGTCCTCTTTACACCACACATTAGCAAAGCAGGCATCTTAATTAAATGGAAGCCATGTTCTTGGTGAGCCTTAATTCTCAGGTCCTATGACTGCAGGAGTCATAGTCTATTTCTTCTGTTACTTCATGATCCTAGAACTGAGTTGGAAAAGCAAATGATAAGTGGTGGATAGTGGTGGCCAGTGAAGGTAGTAAACAGGTTTTTTCTGAGGCCAGATGGCCTAACATTGTGTGCTTTCCCATGAAAAAGAGAATAAATATATATTCTACTAGATGAGGCATGATCGACATTTGCTGTCCATTCAATTTGTCCAGTAATCACAAGGTTAGGTCTTTTTCCTTTGAGGACTTGCCTTGTGTTGCATGCAGGAAATGCTAAATGCTTATGGATGTGCTGTGGGATATTCTGTATGTCCTGTGGGAGCCCGTTCTCGGGTTCCTTGTGGCTTTACCCAGCAGGTCCGCAGAGAGGATGATTAGGACCACAGGTCTTAGTGCAGGTGTCTGAGATGGTCTGCACTTGGCTGTGCTGTGAGATGGTCTGTATGTCAAGTTGCTCTGATTGATCAATAAATAAAACACTGGCCAGTGGTTAGGCAGGAAGTATAGGCGGGACTAACAGAGAAGAGAAATAAAAGAACAGGAAGGCAGAAGGAGACTGCCTGGAGCCACCGCCAGGACAAGCAGCATGTAAAGATGCCAGTAAGCCAAGAGCCACGTGGCAAGGTATAGATTTGTAGAAATGGATTAATTTAGGATATAAGAACAGTTAGCAAGAAGCCTGCCATGGCCATACAGTTTGCAAGCAAAATAAGTCTCTGTGTTTACTTGGTTGGGTCTGAGCGGCTGTAGGACTGGTGGGTGAGAGAGGTTTGTCCTGACTGTGGGCAAGGCAGGAAAACTCTAGCTACATCGATGTAGTCAAGAAACAACTGGATGCTTTGGACATTGGATCCTTCCTTATTTATCCCAGGGCTTTCCACTGGGACTCTTATGTCCAGGGTAATGAATATATTTCTCTGAGTGTTATTATGTTTTTCTGTTGTTAAATTCATGGATATCCACCAGGAAAATTTCTCCCTTATGTGTGTCATGGCTTGGGTTCAGTTAGGAAAGGAATCATGAACTTAGAACTTGGAGACATCCATGATGAATTACAGTGGTTAGGATTGCCCCTTATGGGTGCACTTGCAGATAGACATGCAAAGTAGCTCCCATATGTGGGAGCTGTGTCTGACAGAGATGGTGGTGACCAGTCCTCTCCCAGTAGCTGCTATGGTTCATTTGGATGTTCCATGATAAGCCAGGGGATAGAGGGAACTGAATGCTGGGGGACATTGAGCCAATCTACAATGGATTTTGCATTGAGACAGCTAATTGTGTTTGAAATCTTTTGTCTTATTGGCTATGGCACTGACAGGGATTGAATGGAGTAACCTGCTGGGAGCCATCTAGCAGGGCCCAGCAGAGGATGTAAGGAGTTGGCGGAAGACAGTGAGCCAGGCCATGGTGGTCAGGAGAATCTTGCAGCCTGACTAACTAGCAGCCAGAGTGCTTCTTTATTTATACAGACTTTAGTAAGCAGGAATACATTCATTTATTCTGAAACATAGATCATATCATTTTTGGTTTTGGACATGTGCTTCACCTCCTTTTGCTCATCTTTTAGTCATCATTAATAAACTATAACAGAACAGAGTTATCACTTCCAATCATTTTCCCTTAAGTTTTGACATCATTGATAAACATTTTCATTTTTACTCATTAACCCCATAACTCAATTTTTAAGAATCTAGAGGCATATGACAGCCTGTTTTCAGGCTGGCACCTTTTGTAGTACAAGGACGCTAGACCAAAACAAAATCTTCAAGCCAGCCTGGGAATATTACCATGTCCCAAGCAGTATATTATTCACTCTTAATTGTCAGAGTGCCCAAGAAAAGTCTCAAGCCAAAGCTGCTGCAGTTATTATTCAAATTCTGGCATAATAAAATGTTTATATTTTATGTCTTTATAGAATTTGTCTGTATGTCTAATCCTGGCATTCTGTTGTTCCTTAGTCATGTGACACCACAGTGGCTCTGCATGTGCTAACTTTTCTAAGAAACGGAGGTCCTGACCTTTCATTCTTTTTTTTTTCATTTCATTCTTTTATAATTTTTCCACTCCATAGTTTTCTCATCAACATAATTATCTGCATAGTGCAGAGGTAACTTTAGCAAATATAACTTTGTTGCTGTATATGCAAGGTAGTCACCTGAGTATATAGTGGGAAGAGGCTTGCAATCTGATCTGTGACCAACTCCTCTAGCCCACTGAGTCTTGTTGACCTTTGAAAGTTTATTTTGTTTTGAATATCTTGTTTCTGCATAAGTACAGGGACAGATGTTTCAAGAATGTCTCAGAGCCTCATAAAGAGATCTCTGGCTTCTTTATGTGTGTCACAACCTCGAAGGCGTAAGGAAGACCTTCAAGTAGATAAGGATATCTCCCTAAAAGCAGGAGGGGTAGTATGTTCAGGACTTGCCTGGAGAAACTTAGAAGCAATTCTCCTGGGAGAATGCATAAATGATTTATAGAAATTTCCCATCAATCCAATATCCACAAATTGTACAAATATTAAAAGTCCTTCAAGTATGCAACAGGTAGAAATGAAAACCAAAGGTGGCATGGCAGCCATCGTGTGTCTCAGTTTTGCTGGGTCTTTGTCAAGCAGCTGTGCTGGCTTTATGACTTTTGCCATTCCCATTGGGTATGGCTGTGCTAGTAACCTCAACATAGTACTTGGTGACTTAGTAGAACTTTACTCTTTGAAAGCCCATGGTGGTCTTACCTCATTCCTGATACAATTATTGAGAATGTGAAGGTTCCTCTCATATTATTAGAAATGACATAATGAATTTGTACTTTCTTTTTACTGGATATGGTTTTGGGGATTATTGAATCTAGCTTAAAGTCTGGGTCTCATGTAGGTTAACTGTTAACAGGATGTGAAGGCCTCATCAGAACAATGTCTAACATTGACACAGTGACATTAAAGGCTATGTTGGGACAAGAAAGCCAGAGAATAATAATGGTGGGAGACCCAATGAGGAAAGCAATGTCTATACTGGATGGCTCATTCATGTAGACTTATCTGACTCAGGAGGTATTGACCTACTCATTTGCACACCCTGGAGTTCCATAAAATATTAAACAGAATACATAATATATATGCAGAGGACCTGGTACAGACCTTTGAGGGGCCCCGTGCCTGCTGCTTTGTCTCTATGAGTTCATATGAGCTTTGCTCATGTTGATTTAGTCTTGTTTTCTTGCTGCCCTCCAACCCCTCAGGCTTTTATACTCCTTCTGTCAACTCTTCTGCTGGGTTCCCTGAGCTCTGATGGGGAAGGTTTTTAGATGAGTATTCCAAGATCTCTCACTTAATTGATCCGATCTGATGCAGTAGGGAGCTTCTCTGATGATGGATAAAAAAAGGCACTGATGGATGAGTAGAGCAGAATATCATTAGAAGTCATTTTATCACTATGTTCCCTTTTGTTTGTTTGTTTGTTTTATTTTCAGTACAGTAGTATTTGGCTTTACTCTCTATCTAGTTTTAATTCTTTGTCACTCAAGCAGTGTCAATTATGGGTTCCACCTTGTGGAGTGGGCCGTAAGTCAAATCAGGTATAGTTGGTCAGTCCCACAAGCTTTGTGCCATCATTGTCCTAGCAAATCTTTTTCTCAGCAATGTGCCTTGCTGTCATTTTGTGGAAAGCAATCTATTGTCTTTATAACAGGCTGGGTTGTTTGGGTATTCCCATGGGACCCCTTTGTTCAACAACTAGATGTAAGCCAGTCCCAATACTAGAAGCTTCATTTGGTGGCAAGAGATGGCTAGTTG